AGGCTGTGGCATGACCTCATTTCTTTATAGTCAACCTAAAATACTGCCTTGAGACTGGGAGAGAGAGACCGGGAGGAGGAAGCTGATATAAACGTGCACGCGCGCACACACACACACACACACACACACACACACACACACACAGTCTCTTTCATGGAAACACACAAGTGCGTTCTCTTTGATGAAAACAGTTTCCAGTTTGTCTCACAATGGCACCGAGTCAGCTGTGCACCAAGCCCCTTACACAACACTGGCAAGATACAGCACTTAGGAAAATGCCCCTTCTCCCCATATTATCTCTGTTCCTTAGGCAGCCAGATGTAGACTTGAGAGGAGAAGGACTTTTAGAAATCAGCTGATGAACTGCAAACGTGGGCAAGCAACACACAGGGTGGGAGGGGGTGAAAATGAAATTCTGTAGAAGCCACGCACGTGTCCCCGGAAAATCAGCCGCACGTTTTTTTATGAACCAATGGTCCCGCGCTTTCTGGAAGTGCACGCCAAGCAGCATTCCTGGGTAACAGCTCCCGACTCTCCCCGAGGTGTGCGCCACTTCACTCCGTCTTATTGGAAACACTCAAACACAAGGCAAGGATTTTGAAATCCATAAAATTTATGGAATTCTAAGCACACCAAAGACAGAATGGACTAGGGACTCCTCTATTTAACTGGTTTTAATTTATATTCACTTTAACAGTTTAACCCACCTTTAAAATCCAACCAAGATTTGAAAACATTAATAACTATAAACCATTTTTTAAAATAGTCTCAACCCACTTGCTTAAGCTTTAAGGTCACAAGAAAAATGAATCTCAGAGTCCTGGGAATATTGGCCGTAACATTCATCACTCACCTAATTATTTACCTCCCAGACCGTTTGAAAGATCAGTGGACAAGGTGACTGTGGACTCCCCAGGAGCTCCAGAAAGCATTATTGAGCAGAAGAGTGATCAACCGAGCCAGTTTACCTGGAAGCCCAAGTAAATGAGCGCACGAATGGGAAATAATATACTCTTCAGAACAATCAGGCAGAACAACCTCCCAGAAATTTAAGAGCACACAGTTTAAGTAACACAAAGGAATTCCATTTTTCCACTACAGGCTAAGACCCAAGGGGAAACTCATTTTAAATATTTACTTTTTTAATTTAGCAGTGATCGTGCACATGGCATATCAGGTAGAGTTGAAAAACAAAAGCAAAGAGGTATAAACCTTGGCTACTGCCCTCCAAAATCTTAATCAGAGCTCACAAATGCAAATGATTTTACTCTTTAAGCACTTCCTGCAGAGGGAAACCGGAGTAGGGAAGGTGACGCAACAGGCCAAGAGCACACGCCAGCAGCACTGGGTTTCAAACACAGCTCTGACAAGGTGCAAAGACTCAATGAGAAAGTGAACAGCACTTTAGATTCCCGGATGTGGGTTTTTTCATTTTAAGTTCAATAAAAGCTAACACAGAATGCTGACTGCCTTCCAAGCAGTGTCGTAAGCGCCTGGCGTAAAGCAGCTCACTTACTTCCTATCATAACCTTGTAAATAACTATTATGATTATCCCCAGTTTTATAGATGGGGATACTAAAGCACAGAGAAGTTAAGCTACTTGCCCAGGGTCAAACATTTCCTAGTGGTGAGTGTGAATTTGAACACAAGCAGCGGCTTCCACCTGCTCTCACTGCCACCCCAACACCCACTCTCTAAGCACGGTGGAACTCCAAGGTCCAGGAGCTGCTGGTTTCATTAATGGAGCTACAACTGTCCGGGTTATAAGGGAAATGCTCTGCCTCACTCTGTGCTCATCAGATGACATCGGAGGCATTTCGACCAGTTATTTCCATGGCATGTTAAGAAAAACATTGACAGACTAGAACCTGGCCACTGGAGAGCAAGAAGAGAAAATGGCAGAGTGATGTCCAGAGTGTGGTGTGACTGGGACTATTTGTTGGCCAAGGGAGCTTCAAAAACACACATTTATCTTTGTCCAGAAATGTCAGCGGGGACCGAACCACCCTCAGGTAAAGCAGGAAGCATCCCTGGGACCATCCTTGTCTGTCACGCATTTGCTCATCAGTTTACTGAGGGACCAAGGCCAGCCATACTGCAGAAGAACTCCAAGCTTAATGACTGCTGTTTCGGAAGCAGAAACACCGCTCTCTCAGGCGTGAGACCATTCACTCAGCAGAGCTCATTCCTGAGCAAGGTGAGGTGCACACGTGACCTGTGAGACCAGCTAAGGGGTGGACGCTGCTGGCCACCTCTCCTGTCCTGCCCTACCACTGCCAAGAATGTCCTGCACACCCTCAGGCCAAAGGACACAAGCCCTCGAAAAGAAGGGAAAAAAATTAGCTCACAGGCACTTTCTACTGAGAATGCTGACAGCTCTGAACAAGAGAAAGCACAGCACACTTAAAAGGCAGCCAAAATGAGAATTCTAGAACAAGAGGTAATTAATTAGGGAGAGGCAGTTCTCGCTTCCATCTCCTTTTCCTCGAGCTCTTTCGTGAGTGACTGCGTGTGCCTGTCTCACTAACAGGGGCCTTGTTTGTACAGAGCGTCTGCTCCATGTTGTATGATTTCTCAGAAACAGAGAAACTGTGGCCCAAATGACAGGCCCCTGTCATCCAGTGTTAGCCCAGGCGGGGCCACAGCAGTAGCCGCACTCACCGGGGCTCCTCCAGTGAAACATTTTCCAATTTCTGAGTCAGGAGAAACATCTGAGGTCAATATCTATAAACACATTCCCGAGAACGAGCACTTCCAAGTGAAAAGGCTGATCAAAACCACTAAAACGGTTTTAAATTTAAATCCAACAATACTTCCCATGATTATGGCAACCTTCATTATAATTAAGATTTGTGCATGTGTTCAGTATTGCTATTTATATGATTTTTAAATATTTTTATTTTTTCTTGAATAATATATTACGTGGGTAAAGACATAAAAAAAAAATCTGCTGGGGCCTAGGGATATAGCTCAGTGGCATACGTGCCTGCCTGGCAAGCACAAGATCCTGAGTTTGGTCCCCGGTACTGAAGGAAAAAAAAAAAAAAATCTGCTAGTTCAAGCATCCTTGTAGATAAGGTAATGAATCGTCCATAAAGAGCGTATTTCTTGAACCAGTTCTGACGGTTTCTAGTTACACTCTTTCCCTTTTGCCTCCATCAGTGGAACTGGAGGGAGATTTGGGGACTTAGTCTACGTTTGGACTTTGCGAAAAGATGGTTACTCGGGTGGTTCCCTTGTTGGGTAAGGCTCCGCCTCAGGCTGTTCCTTCCATATGAGTTTTTGCTTTTCTGTTTGTTTCAGAATGGTTTAGAGCAGTGTGAGAGGGGATACAGCTCAGAAGGGAAAGCAGCTCTGCCGCAGACAGACTTCCTCCTCGGCTTAGAATACTTTCTGCAACAAAAACCTCACACAGCCATAGCCAGGGTCCCTCCCCCAGGCCGCCCTGTCTGAAGGAGGGAGGAACCGCAGATAATAAAGTCTCCGTCCATCGCATGGTGCTGGCTCTCTCTCCGGCCCTCACGACCTCCCCAGTTTCAAGAGAGAGGACGGGATGATGCTTCTCCACAGCATGCAGAAATTATTATTCTCTCCAAAAAATAAATCATAAGCGGACTCTGATAATGCTGAGAATGTAAACAACCTCTCCAATCACCTCCCGCCCTCTTGCTGTCTTTCTCTAGGTTTGGGGAGGCAAAAGAGATCATAAAAGCACAACATATTCTCACTATTGTGGGATTTGAAGAAACCAAGAGATTATGACGAACAAAGTCTGAGATAATTACAGTCTCCATTAGCACGACTAATGAATGGAAAAAGTGAAAGATAAATACTGGACCATCCAAAAACCATTTGTATTTAATGCTGCAGCAAAACAGATGAGTTCCCTCACGGTGGGCTTGTACTTCCTAAGCATGTTCACCCTCAAAGCCAGGGATAAAGTCAGACCGTCTTCCACACACTTGCTGATCGTGGGAGGGAAGGCGAAGAAAGGAGGGGGGCCTTGGACAGGTCTAGGGGTAATTCAGTCGGGGGGTGCGTGTGTCTTTAAACCTACTCTCCAGTGAACACCACTGATAGGTAGCCTGCATTAGCTACTTACGTCACCTCTACTATGTCTCTGGACACCACTGCCCTATAAATCGTACCATCCCTACGTCGCAGGTGGGAAACCCCAGGCAAAAGGAGCTCCCAGAGGCCCTCATCTGCTGACAGCTGGGCAGGAGGAGGTAGGACGTGAGCCTGGATCTGTGCATCCCTGACACTCATCTTTTTTCCGCTCTGCCTTGCTGCTTCCTGTTTTTAAGAGACAGTTCTCATTGTGGATAATCCTCAGGAGAATCATCGAAAGAGGATTTATACAGAGTGCACAAAGTATGCAAATTTACCAGGGAAGGGTGATATCTAACTGTGTACCACAGGACCTACTAGAGACCACCCTGGTATATAATATGAAACATATCCACCATGAGTCTCTCTGCATGTTGACAGTTTCTGTTGAAACCAGGCACGTGGTTTGTTTCTATTTCCCCACCAAGTTTAATACAGGGTGCTTTGCAAAGCCACAATTCAGGTTAAGTCTTTCACGTTGGCAAACACAGGGTAAGACTGGTGTTTAATCTTGACAGCGTCTCATTAGTGGAAATGAATGACTCAATATTAAAATGAGAAAACAAATGGCTACGAGACCCCAGCTAAAATGCGTTTCATTAAAACAATAATGACTTCATACACACTGTGCCCAGTTTCAGAAAGCTCTGACTTCCTAATCGTTTCCTGGATGGCTTCCATGCTAGCCAGCATCCCTGTCGGTGCACTGCAAGCGCCTCAATCTTCCGTAGGCTGGGCATGGGAAAGTGAGCATAATGTTAAGTCTATAGGGCAACGTCCAAGTCAACTGATGTCATTTTAAATTATAGCAAAAAAAAAAAAAAAAAAAAGTCACCATACAGACAAGTGTCTCCTGGAGCCTGTCTGGTTGCCTAGAGCGAGTACTTACCCAAGTTGGGTAGAGAAACCGGTTTCCTTGTGTCTTTGCAGTTTTCTCACCGCTGCCAGGTTCCCAGTTGTTCTCACGGCTTCCAAAGCCCTTGGCAGGGAAGGCAGTGCAGTCACAGCTAAGCACACGGACTGCAGAGGGGATCAGCTTCAGACGGCCCGCAGGAACACGATCACCGGGACAGCAGTCGTCTCCGTGCTGCTCGCACCCCCCCATTCACCCCATCAGGACTCGGAGGCCGCAAGTTCCCACTAAAGAGACCGCTGCCTTGCTCAGCCAGAAGTCTCTAGTTCTTCAACCCTGGAGACCCTTCTGTGAATCTTCCCCCGTAGGTACCATGTTTCAAAGACCATGTGCCTATTACAAAAACCAGAACTGCCTACTTCTCTTAGATTCTGAAATTCTGAAAATAGCTGACAGACGCCACTACCACCTAGTCCAGGGCTACCAGCTTAGAGAGCAATAAAATTATAATGTGAAGCAGGAAATAACGACAGTAATGTTTTGCACTTACTGCTTACTATTCATGCCAGGCATTGTGCTGAGTACATTGTTTAATCCTCACCGCAGCCATGCAAGGTGGGCACTGTAATTATCTTCCTCCCGGTTCAGAAACATTAAGTAATCCGCCCAAGGCCGCCAAACCGCACCGTCTGACTTCAAAGCCTGCTGCTCACTCCTAGCTCCACTTCTCCCTGTTCCTGCTGCTCCTTTTGGGAAACGCCGTGTGCACTTCACCCGCTTCAGGACTTCTGCAAAGCTTCCAGTTATCGTCTCACTCCCCCGACACTCTGTCCTCCTCCTTGGGAGAGAATGAGACAGATGACACCTATATCCGCAAAGGCACCCAGCCCAAGTCCAGAGCATTGCGGAGGCAGCCGAGGTGCGGGTATTTCACGTTTTCCTCCGCCCAAACCAATAAGGCAGGGGCCTTTCTCCCGCACAGCAAACGCCCCTGCTCAGTGCTCTTCCTGGAGTGGAAAGGGCGGAGGTTTCCCTGTGACAGGCACCGTCTCTAGGTTCCTGGTAAACGTACTGACTTGGTCAGCAAACTCTGGGTGTTTTTCAACTGTCCCCAGCTCCCAGTCTCACCACAAGGAGAAAAGAATGGACCAGGGGTAGAGGGACCCTAGATGCTCAGACTTCAAATCATGGTTCTCTAAGTAGAGTGCTCACATGCAGATGTGACTAGCGTTCAGAGCACAGGCAGCTGATAACTCAGGAAATACACAGCTGGAAGCCGGGGGAAACCAAAGACCAAATGGAATCTATCGTATGACTTGTGTATAAAGTCGGGGATTTGGGGACAGGGACTATTAATGAACCCACATATATATAAAAGGTCTCATTTGTACAAATGGTGAGCCCACACACATTTTTCCTTTTGCTTTGAATTTGGTTTCTATTGTAACGTTGATGCAGTAAATAATAATTTCAAAAGCATATTATGTACAGAGCATATAATTAGGTGACACACTATAAACAAATTAGCTTTATAACATGTCAGCTGAGCATTAACCATGTAGAAAGGATGCTTTTCTGGGTTTCTTATGCACTTCTCTCTGGAGAGAGTCCCGTGGCAAGATAACTTCCGCCCAGGTCTCCCAGCCAGTGCTGATCACCCAGGAGCCCAGCAAGTACACTCGAATAATGGGATGGGGCTTCTCCGGGTGGAGTTTTCTGACTCAGAGGACAACCAGCAAGGTTACAGCCACAGTGGAGACAAGGTGGAAACCTTTACAAGCACGAGGCTGAGTTCCGTGCCTAAGTGCGTGTGTGTGAGTGTGTGTAAGAGCCTCAAATCAGAAAAAGGGAGCACCCAGTGAATCACACTTGTGCAGAGGCCTCCTACTTGCACTTTTTCAGGGGACACAAAACCCCTTCTGTCAGATCTGGCTGGAGGGTGAGGTGCACATTATCAGCACGGCAGGCCAGCGCGGAGGCTGCGTGTGCAGGCCAGAGTCTGCCCAGCCCAGAAGAGCTGCAGGCAAGCACATGGGTCCAGCGCTGACACCAGCGTGTCCAGGGAGGCATCGCGGGCAAACGAAAGTTCTGGATTATTAGCAGTGACAGATAATTGAAACAAGCACAGCTGTCACTGGGTGAGGGCTTGCCACGTGCAGAGGGACATCCTGCTCTAACACCCCCAGCCTTCACCCCGCCAGCAAAGAGCTGAGAGGTCTGGATCCGCCTCCAGAACAACTGTGATTGTACTGAGGAAGCATGAGGACATCGCCGGTGCGGAGAGGTCACCATGGCCACTCGGGAGCCCCGGGAGCCCAGCGTCACTGCTCAGCAGAAGTGGAGGTGGTGGGACATGGCAGGAGAAAGCACAGAAGGATGCTGCTGCTGGCCGGGGCTCACGCTAAGCCCGAAGTAACCCGTGGTTTGATCCATACCCTGCAAACAGCGATGCAAAGTGAGTGCCTGCTTGCTAAAGCGAACGAAAACCTATGTCCTAGAGAAGGTTTTCTTTCCGTTCTCCCTTGCCACACTCCCAAATCCTACTTGTGTGTCTCCCACGTACTCCTCCGACCCTTTCACTCAGGTGCCCATCCTTCAGGGTGGTGACCACCTCCTCCTCCAAACCATCATAGGAACTTCCGTCTATTAAAAGCCACCGTGCCAGCCCCTTCCACAGCTCATTTCAAAGCCTAAAACAACCCTCCGGGTAAGGTGCATGTGAAGTATGATCCAAGAATACAGTGACTGTTAAATTCTTAAAAATTTAACACCGTGACAGCCTCATGCTGCTCCCCTTCAAAATCCTTCTCCTCACTTTGAACACACTCTTCCCATCACTCTTGCCATTTTCTGAAGCAGGTCTGCAAGTTCTTTCCTGAGCGTCTTTTTAGTTATGCTGTCCCGGCTGCCTTGAAGTCCTGAATCAGTTGAAACTGTTTTCTTCTCATGGTCATTTTTACTCTGGGGAGGAGCTGGAGCTGCTTGGTGCCGGATTCAGTGAATATGATGGACGGGGACGCAGCGCCGTGTCTTTATGAGCTGCCTGTCTGCTGGATGGCTTTCGGCAGCGGCACTCACTACATCTCTGACGGCACCTCATAAAGACACTCAGGAAAGAGGATTCCAGAGCTGCTGCAGAAAGTGGCAAGAACAATAGGATCAATGTGTTCAAAGCCAGAGCAGGGATTTTGAGGGGGCTTCATGACAGTGTGGCTTTACCATCTATTTCCCATACATTTTGACCACCCCATATCATTTATAATTTAAAGATTTAGAAGATGAAGTAACTTGCCCAAAGCCAAAAGAGCCAGTGAGTGGTGGAGTCTGGATTGGCAGCAAGTCTGTGAGACTGCAAGCCCTACCTGCCCTCTATGTCTACACGTTTACTTCAGACCCTCTGCCTTCCTAGGCGACGAGATCCTGAGGCCCACACGCCTGCCTGGGCCCTAACGCACTCGTCTAGGAGCTGCTTATGACATCCCTGGCGCCCACGCCACACCGAGTAATAAACACGAGAGGAGGGAATGATAAAGTGGCAGGAAACCCAGGAGGACAGGAAGCTCCTTTTGCCTCTGCAGCCTGCATTTCTAAATGGGATGACCCGGGTGACCCTGGGCTGCAGCGACCTTCCCTCCCACTCCAAAATCCTCTGACCTGCTGGGATCCGGCGAGGTAAGCAGAGTGAAAAAGGTGGGCTACATGGCCCCTGCTGTCCTTGACACCACCCTCCGGTAACCCATGAATCTTCTAGATTTATTTTTTTCTGCTAAAGCGTAAAGGACAAGTGGCCAAGAGCAGGTCCATAAATCCCCCTGACTTTTATTAGATGGGGAGAATTTTTGCCTGTGAGGTCAACATAACCTGGAGGAAAAGACAAAAACCTCCCTGAAAGGGAGCCACCACATTATGGTGACATAATCCAGGCCCGTGTCTGGGACAAGAGGGCCCCCGCCACCACGTGCAGTTAGAGCACCTCAGAAGTCACCAAAGTGGGTTTGTTATTCCAGCCCTTGCTAGCTTTCCAGGCGTGTCACATCTCACACAGATCCCACGGGGAAAGAGACATGCCTGAGACTGTGAATGATGCCCCTGAATCCCTTAATGAAGACATAGCCTAGGCTGGAAGCGGGACCACCTCAGTGGAAGGAAAGAAAGCAGGAGGAAGCCCAGGACCAGGTGAGAAACCCGGGAGCAGGAACCAGGCTCGCCCTTTATCATGTGAGACTACCTGGTCTAACATTCAAGTTTATAAAACCGTCCCATTCAGCCATTCATTTTTGTCTGTGTCTGAATTGTGTGTGTGTGTTGTGGTACTCAGACTCATATGATAAATAAGGCTTGTTTGCCCCGTTCTCTGGGGCCCTGCAGGCCTGCAGGAGCAAGGCTGTCTACCGAAATCATTCTCGCTTAGTACAAGGACAGCAGGGACAGAACAGCACCAGCCACTGGCTACAGCCTTGCAGCACAGCACAACCGACCAAGCAGCACGCACGACCAGGGTTCACGGAAATAGCCACCTTCACCGTGCACACTCGGGGATTTCACCTAGGTTATCTGATTTCATCCGCAATTAATCCACCACAAGGCAAATATTCTTCTCAGGAAGAAAAAAAAAAAAAAACACGAACTGACTATCAAATCTGTTCCTTTCAAGTCCACGTAAAAGAACACCTGGAATTTCACAGAAAATAAATTTCTCTCCAGAAAGGAAACCGTTTATGATGAACTCAGATATTTCATGAGATAAACCATAGCTTCTCCATAAAACCTAATAAAATGGTTTCCAGCCACTGAGCTGGCTGGGTCTAAAGCCACAGAGTCCACAACCATAACTAATGAAAGATACTTTTTGATTTTGAAAGGAAATTTAGAAGAAAAGGAGAAAATAAAACAAAACCAAAACATAAGGCTCCAAAACCTTCAAGGGGAGGAGAAAGGTTCCCTCTCCTAAGTTTGACGGACAAGAGGAAATTCAAGCAATTCTCTTTGGCACTTGGTAGGGGAAAAGTAGAGCTCTTATTTTCAAAAGAAACCACTTATTCGAGATGATCAAGTGGAAGTAGCATTCTAAGCCATTTGGAGGGATGTCGCCGACACCTTGGTGGTTCTGCCCCGAACAGCCGCATTCCCCCTGCCCATATTTCTTCGTGTTTGATACTTGGATTACCCCAGCAGGAAACGGGCAGTCTTTGAATAGAGGGTTTTGTTCAGATTTCTAATAGCTTCCAGCATTTGCCCCAGACCACAAGGACTACACCAAATTTACTTAGACATCCAGGCCAGACGTGAAGAATTTCTCTGTCAGATCTTGTAAGCTCCACCAATTTAACATTTTGGCTTCTCCTGGGCAAAGAGAAGACAGCCAAACAGCACTGGTGCCGGGGGGCAATCTGGTGACATGTGGCAGCTCTTGAAAGAAAATTAATGAACACAACCGGTAACCTTTTTGCCCCTCTCGGCTCTCCTCGTTCGAGGGAAAAAGTAAAATTTCAGCAATTGGAGAGACA